CAAACTTCATAGATTTAAACAATCCATAGTTAATATAATTAAACCCAGGGAGCAGAGACATGAWAGCTGTAAATGCAGTGTGAATATTCACAACACATCAGGCAAAGAAACACAGAAGAACAGCAGTACGAAACGCAAGTAGCTCCCAGTTCTAAAATGCCAGAAAGACCAGGCAGCTGTACACAGCACGATGGAGATGAAGCAGGAAGACAGATTTCCAAAAGGAAGGACAGGGAGCAATAAGGCTTTTACAGAGTGCAGCCTTGAACCCATGGCTAATCTGATAAGTATTATAAAAGGTCACTTTTTCGTCTAATTAACAAAACCATTTGTACTCCCCCAGTCTAATTGGATATGATGATATCATCCTGATTCAAAGCAGGTGAAACGCAGGCACACAAACAGATGGCTGAGAGCCAATTTCAAGGTTAGCCAACCCTGACTCCCATTTGAAACAAACCCACTAGCACTGTATACCTTTTCTAACATCTGTGTGGAGCTTGGCTCCACTGTTATAAATAAAATGAACAGGGGAAGCAAGGAGTTAAAAGAATAGTAACTCGTTGGGCCTGCCTTCTTTTACGAAGTAGGTAAATCTAGAGGATTTGGTTCTAAAATAGTGTTTTCTCATAAGAGGAAGGAAAGAGTGAGGCTGGTGGACAAAGAGGTAGAAGGAACTCAACCAACAAAGTGATCCTGCAGTCTGGATTCCCACCTAAGATTCCCCTCTGATCTCCACTGAACAAGTCATGGAGCGCATGCAGATGGCGGAAGGGCTTGTGATTTAACCAGGCCTGATCCCCTGCCTGGGGCCTCTCTGAGAACCCGAGGAACCAACACTTCTCAACATTACCCAATTAGAACATTCTCTTATTTTCTTCTTCCACTGGCACCTTCGCCACACATTTACACTCTAAAGTATGTAGGTTGTCTTAGTATATTTCCTTTTTCTTTATTTAACTGATGTGTAAAACACATAAAAATTGTACATACTCCTGGGGAAACCACGTTATGTTTCAAAACATTGTATAATGTTTAAATCAGGTTCAACACACCTATCTCCTCCAACATTTGTTTATTCTTTATGATGAAAACATTCAGAATCCTTTCTTCTAGGTTTTGAAATATACAGTGAATAATTTTCTCTATCTATCTACATATCTAATCAAGGCCCAGAAAAAACATCTCATCTCTGCATATGTCATATCAAATCATAAAATGCTTCTGGGGAGCAGCAGAACTGGCCTCCTCTTATACCCTGGTTCCTCTTGGGATCCATTCCTGGTTGTCAATTCTCCTTCCATAGGCTTACCTAAGGACCCTACCACACCTGACACCTCAGCAGAGCTGTACCCCAAACTCTCTGACCTGGTGTTCCTTTCTCTTGTTTTCCCATTACCCTTCTCTTTCTCCACCCACAACCCCATTCTCCGCCCTCTCACTGCTATTCCAGTTATCTTCCCCAAACAACTACGGACTTGTCGCTCTTACTGCCTGCTGCTCCATCAAAAGAGCCTAGCATGTAACTCCTCCATAGCAGCCTATTTTCCTGCTCATTTATAAGCTACTCATGTCCTTCCACCCCATGCTAGAAAGAGGCCACATGGAAACCCAGGACTCTATCCAAAGTACATGTATGAAGACATGAATTGGTGTCAACACACTTTATATACAACCAGAGATAKGAAAAATTGTACTATATACATGTAATAAGAATTGTAATGCATTTCGCTGCCATTTATTTTTTTTWAAAAAAATCAATCAATAAAAAAAGAAACCTAGGACTCTACAGTCTTTCATAGACTGTGCAGTGGTACCTGCTCACTTCCTGGAATACCCACCCCCCCCCATATAAACAGCCTCCTTTTTCCGTCAAATGACCCATGTCACAAGCCACATCCTCTCTGAAAACTGTCCTGAGTCCCCAGGCGACATCACAGATCCCTTCTCCCGCATTCCTGCTTATTTAGGATGGGTCACTAGTCTGTATTCACTTAGTGTCTTGCTGCCCAAGACACACCCCAGCCCCTCCATACATCTTGATGTATTATTTCATGAGTAAAATGATTTTTGTGCAATTATTTCTCCTCTAGCCCCTCTAAAGTCATCTTCACTCATATCTTTAATAGAGATGAGATCTAATAATTAACAACTTGAATCCTTTTTGCTCAAGCCAGGGTTATCCATATTTGCCACTTTGCAAGAATGACCAGGGAGTATATTACAAATAAAGATTCTTGGGCCCTACACAAGGCAGTATCCTGAATTGGACCCTATATGGGAGTTGTCGGTATTTGMAATTTTTTAATATTGATTTTTTAGTTGTAGTTAGACACAGTACTTTYATTTTATTTATTTTTATTTCTATGTGGTGCTGAGGATCGAACCCAGGGCCTCGAACACGCTAGGTGAGAGCTCTATCACTGAGCCACAACCCCAGCCCTTTGCATTTGTTTATAGCAAGGATTGCAGATAGTTCATTTGTATGTGTAATTTTACTATATATATATATATATATATATATATATATATATATATATATAAGTTATATATGAACTCAATGCCTTTATTTGTTTTTTTTTATATGGTGCTAGGATCAAACCCAGTACCCTTCACTTGCGAGGCAAGTGCTCTACCACTAAGCTACAACTCCAGCCCTGTAGTGTATTTTTGTTTTTGTTTTGCTTGCTTGTTTTTGGAGTGCTGGGGATCAAACCCAAGGCCCCACACATGCTAGACAAGTGTTCTACCACTGAGCTACACTACACCCCCACCATCTACAGGTAATTCTTATCTGGACTTGACTTAGAGGACACTTTGTCCCCTAAGGAAAAGCAGCAACATGACAGATTTTATTAACCACTTATAGCTTAATGTGAACTGTGCACCAAAACCCCTTGCTAAAAAGTTAACGAAGTGGGTACCGAAAAAGAAAAACACCATGGAACGTGTCTAGTTTTGATTTTTGTAAAACATTATCTGGATTTGGGTCAATTTTACATCCATAAAACCTCCATAATCAAAATATTTATCTTTATCTAATGAAGTGGCTCCCACAGGCAGATCTTCCACTAACTCTATCACATGCTATGCAATGTCTAAGAAGTAGCATCGTCTGTCCTTCTGGTGGTTAAATGCTGGTAATACAAGGTATAGATTTAAATATGGAATTTTATTACTGTATAAGAACAAAGTCAAGGTGAATAGATATTTTACACAAGGCTGTTTAAAGAGAAATTATAATAYCTGTAGTCCACTTTTTAAAAAGATCTCTCTTTTAATCAGGGGATGCAATATTTCAACTGTGCGTATGTGCACCTGGGTTTTTTCCCCTTATAATGAAAGAATTTTTTATTTGGGTTAAAATTTCAAAAAATACTTAAGTGCAGGCCTGGTGTGGTCTACTTGTGCTGGATTTTGTAAATGCTGTCACTAATTTTGTGATTAATTTCTCTTCTTTCTTTGACTGCCTGCATAATCACTTCATTGCAAAAATTTTGTACCCTATGTTCAGCAATTTATCCTTAAAGATATATTCCAAAAAAGGCAACACACAGAGAAATCTGTGATACACCAAAATACTTTTTAGTGCAGCTTCTTTGAAGTATATTTATTTTAACCACCATTTCCTCTCCTAAACAGCAGCTTTGCTGGGGTTTGAATGTCTGTTTAGAAGGTTGCTTGCCCTGACACCCTGTGCTCTGAATTCCACCTCTCCTTCCAGGAAAACACTAGTGGAAGAAGAGAGGAGACTACTAGAAGAGGTTGATAGAAATGGATCAGACTATGAAGAATCAAACTTCCAAATCTCCACTTGGACATCTACACCTCTGACATCAGACCYGTCCACATCACAATGCACTCACATCCACTCCCTCCCATTTCCTCCATCTCAATGGAAGGCACCACTAAYTGCTAAGGTTCAAAATCCAGGAATCTTCCTTGATTTCTCTTCTCCCCAAAACCAACTTATCAGCAAAGTCATTCAATGCACATACAAAACTAAACCCCAGTCTGACACCTCCTCAACTCTGCTGCCCAGCTGTTCATGCACCGAGAACTGTCAGATAAATACAGGACACTAAGATATGCAGGAATTTCACATAAACAGCAAATCATTTTGCAGTATATACCATCCCCAAAATTTCACGAGACATAGTTAATTATACTAAAAGGAATCTGTTGCTTACAACTTAAGTTTAACCTGGCTGCCTGTATTTTTATTTGCTAAATCTGACAGATGCTCCCGCATTCCCTGCATGTCTGAACCTCTACTAATGAAAACTCTCTCCCAAGGGCTGAAGATGTAGCTTAGTGGTAGAGCACTTACTTGCCTAGCCTGCCTGAGGCTCTGGGTTCAATTCCCAGTACTGCAAAAATAAGTAAATTAATTAAATAAAACCCCTCATGGTTTTCTTCAGAATTTGGAATGATTCAAGTTCTTTATCAAAGCCATCAGGGTCTTTGGATGAAGAGGGTGAGAGAGGATGGATGCACATCATAGCAGAGTAGTGACTCTTGTTCCAGAGAACTCAGAACTTCTCAATATCTATTGGCTGATAAATGAATAACTAAGTTTCCCATCTGTAAAGTCAGATTTCTTGAAATTCTAAACATTCTTTCCTTTTGCATGCCCAATTTTTAAAATAATCTGCTGACATCCCTAAAGAATCTTTCTTGCACCAAATTCAGACTTAGTTTYACCAAGTAGTGAATGCAAATTTCCTCCCGTTGCCCGGTGGTGCTGCCATTCCTAAGAGTTCCAAATCATCRGAAGCCTCATCTCAAGTCTGCACAGAAGTGATAGATGATGCAATTCATTACTTGAGTGTTTCATTGCATTTTAAAAAATATGTTTTTAGTTGTAGATGCACACAAAACCTTTATTTTATTTATTTTTATGTGGCGGGGAGGACAGAACCCAGTGCCTCACACATGCAAAATGAGCACTCTTCCACTGAGCCACAACTCCAGCCCCTACTTCATTGTATTTTTTTTTTCTAAATATGGAACGCTTCATGAATTTGGGTGTCATCCTTGCACGGGGGCCATGCTAATCTACTCTGTATCATTCCCATTTTAGTAAATGTGCTGCCAAAGCGAGCACTGCTTCATTGTATTTTAACCTTGCAATTTGAAAAACTTTGTAGCAAGCCAAAAACCAAGGTGTTGGTATGAATGCAGAGGTGCCATAAACCTAATTCAACTGCAACAAGCTAAAAATCACAAGTGAGCTGAAAGTAGGGGCCCGTTTGTCTTAAGCAAAACACTTTTTAAACTTAAACTGATAGCTTTATTGTGAAGAAAAGAAGTAAAAATAAAGACCAAGGATAAAATGCTGAACATATATTGAAAATTATGTCTGACTTAGAAACTACAATTATAAGGTATAAACAGCTTAGCTGACMGGGAATGGTAGCCCTTATCATGTGTAACACTATTTTTGGCTTTCAGGCTTAAGAGGTAAGGAGTTGCCTGTGAATCACCACTGCACAGCTAAAAATCCGTATGACTGGGTCCTTAAGCAGCATGCAATAATCCAGGATTTATAATCCTCCTATTTTTCTGGGAAATGTTGGAACCTCTAAAGAAGTAAAAATTGAAGTTTTAGTTTCAACTCTTATGAGCTAAGAGAATAAAAACTTTGCAATGGTCATCCAGCCCTTGATGTTGTTTAGATGGACCATTTTCAGACAAGGCAAGAAGCCATCAGGCACAGGAGGAAGGGAAGATTATAAATTGTGATTTTGTGTGTTGGATCTTATAAGCTGAGTCCTGCAAGAAGTATGGAGTCGGGGGTAGGGAGACAAACCAATATGATATACAGAAGCCAACAGTTCCAGAAATGTTATACTAAATACTCCGATTTCAGGACTCCAAATTTCAGAGTGTGTCAAGCCATTTCACACAGGTAATTGTGCAAAACACGGGCACACAACCTCCTCTAGGGAAACCTTGGAAATACAGCAAGTCAACTTGCTGTTGGGATCATCTGACATTCAGCATGCTTCTCAGAACCCCTTCCTCACACCGAGAACCAGGGACAGGAGGATGCGCAAGACAGTGTCCACCTTCCTCCCTCAAGAGCTCAGGGAACAGCAAGAGAAACAGGTAAATTGAAGGGAACACTAATGAGACATAGCATGTGCAACCACAGAGGTACATCAACACACTCTGGGCCACAGATCAAAGCCGACAGCCAAATGTCAGAATCAGCCTGATGGAAGCATAAGATTAGCATCTCAGTTCCAGGCTAACTGGATCTCCTCATCTGACRTTATTCTTAGTCAGGTTTTTTCCCCCCACTGAGGCAATATTGATAGACTGTTCTGGACACAGATGGTGGTAATATTTGCAGAACAGTGTAGCTGCACGTAATGCTACAGAACCACACACTTAAAAATGGTTAAAATGGTAAATTCTATGTTTACCACAATGAAAAAAAAAATTCTAAAAATTGATTTCTTTTTACCCTCCAAAATGTATATACAGTGAAAGGCACAGAACTTAACTCTCCCTGAAATTAGTTTTGATAGATGTACCCCCACATATACCCATCTTCCAAAATAAGACCCTCATTCCTATCTCCTCATGTTCTCACTGCACCCTCTTCTAAGTCACCTCCCCCACAGGCCCCTATCCTTGAACTTCACCCAAGCTATAGCCTTTGCTGTCTGGATTATTTTTGCTGAATGTAATGTTTTTGAGAGGAAACCAGTTGTTGCATAGAGCAGCAGCTCTTTCTGTAGCTGAGTCGTAGAATTTCATTTTATTGGAATATCAAAATTCATTGAGCAGGTTTTTTTTTTTAATTAAGCAATTTTCTGACCAAGAAAATTTTGGATAGTTCCACCGTTCTTTTTTCTTTTCTTTCTTGCTTTTTCTTTCTTTTCTTTTCTTTTTTTTTTTTTAATAGTATGACTAAGGCTGCTATATACAGAATTGTACATGTTCTTTTGTGGACATCCATTTTCACTTCTCTTGCATAAGCACCTTCGAGTGGAATTCCTTGATTGTGACAGAGACATCTGTTGAGTTTTACMGGAAATTGTCTAAAGGCTTCCTGCAGTAGCTGTACCTATTTGCACGTTGGTCTTCCCACGTCCTCACCAGCATTGGGCATTTTTTGTTGAGAGAGAGCAATGTCTCACTGAGCAAGTATTTGTGATAGAAAAAGGGAAAAAAAAATTCTCCGGGGCAGATTATTGGCTTTTTCGAGGACTACTCCTTCTCTTTCAGGCAGGCTGGATTATGCTCCTTCCAAAACTGGAATTTTACATGAAGTTCATTTCTTTCTTTCTTTCTTTCTTTCTTTCTTTCTTTCTTTCTTTCTTTCTTTCTTTCTCTTTCTCTCTTTGTCTCTTCTTCCTTCTCTTTCTTTTTTTCTTTCTTTTCTCCTTCTCCTTCTCCTTCTTCTTTTTTTAACAAAGTGCTTTTCCAGTCTTTCACAACTAATCCTGATTAAATCCTGGAAAGGCATTCTAATAGATGGACAAAGAGCAACTCAGAAGAGGTACCTTAGCAGAGTTCACAGGGTGAACGCACCATCCCAGCCCCTGACTAAACAGGTACCCCATTTTTKAACATATCAAATTACTTCTTATATGTAAAAAAGAAAAAAGAAACAAACAAAGAAAAAAAAGAACCTACTAAGTGATGTAGTTATGATGGAACTATGCCAGTACAGCCTCACTCCCCGACACAGCACTGCCTTGGCCGGGTTGTAGGACCTGTGAGAGAACAGCCATGCTTCCCATTGAGATTCTCTCTTTCTTTGTGGCACTGGGGATTGAACCCATATGTGCTGTAACACTGAGCTACATTTCCAATCCTTTTTTATTTTGAGATAGGGTCTCAATAAGTTGCTGAGGTTCTGACTAAGCTTCTGAGGCTGCCTTGAACTTGCAAACTTCCTGCCTCAGCCTTCTGAGTTGTTTGGATTATGGGCATGCACCACTGCAGCCAGCTTGCTCCCTGTTGATTCGAATGAGCATTCAGAGTTGAGTGAAACCCACTAGGCTCCAGCCTTCCCWGCTTTTGCAAAAGAATGAAATGCATAGTCCAATAGTGTAAGGAACCTTACCCAACCCCTGATCTGCACTTCAAAATTGCAAATCATAGCAACGGAAAGCAGGGATGGTTTAACTTCAGGTACCCTGGTGGGTAATTGCCCCATAATCCTTCTGAATTAGCATTTAAAAAATATTGGTACAGCTGGGAATGGTGACATACACCTGTAATCTCAGCAACTCGGGTGGCTGAGACAGGAGGATTGCAAGTTTGAGGCCAGCCTCAGCAAATTAGGGAGGTCCTAAGGTCCTAAGGACTTAATGAGACCCTGTCTCAAAACATTAAAAAAGGGGGGGCTCAATGATTAAGTGACTCTGGGTTCAATCATAGGTACAAAAATGTATAGATAGATAGATAGATAGATAGATAGATAGAACCACACAGAGAGCAAGAACAACACACCACCTCTACCCAATGCCAAGTCTTAAATGGCTATGTTTGGGAGTTATTAAATCCAAGAAAACTACCAGAAGTAGTTCCAGTTAGACTATGGGTTATACAAAAAAAAAAAAAAAAAATCTTGCACATGAGCCCAAGAATAAATACAAGGCTACAAGCCTTGGTGTTGAGATTAAATGGTGCAATTAAACAATTTCTTCTAAGTTCAAGTCAATGTCAAAACACTTCCACTTCCACTGACTTCATCAGGATAAGACAACAAGAGAGAATAGGGGTTTTACTTGAAGAATCACCTTGACACTCTGAATAATGAAAGGAAGTCAGGAATCTGCAGACATCCTCCTCTTTAGAGGAAAAGTTGAACTCTTACCCATTTTTTTAAAACTGTTATTCTATTAAAATAGCTATCATCGAAAAATGGAACTATTCGCCTATAGAATATTATGAATACCACACAAGAGACATTCAGCCACAGAGTGCTGAGTGTTGAGAGAAAGCAGTGGCCAGAGAGATTCCATCAATTCCCAAGTAATAAACAGAGTTTGCGTAGGCAGAGACAGGTTGCTTCAAATGCCAGGAAGAAACTAAAAGGGAATGACCAAGTGACTCACTCAATCACATACTCCTCCATTTGCTGTTAGTAATCTATTAACTAAAACCTTAACAGCTTTTCAAAGTCCAAGGTGGCAGCATTTTAAGGGAAATCGTTATAAAAATGTAAAATAGCAAATAACTATTGTCTCGTGGGGAGAAAAAACACAAGCTAGATAAATATTTAGCAAAGAGAGAAAGAGAGAGAGAGAAAGAATGAAGAGAAGGCTCAATTCAATCGGGATTAATATAACAACAAATCAGTTGCTTTACTTTGTTTTGCCAGAAGAGGAAAACTGTTACCAACAAATAATGACCGTTGTAATAGAGGTGAACTGAGTTGTCAGCTGAAGTTAATGCAGACGACGGCTCCACCAGATCATGATTTAAACTCCTGATTTAATGCTTAAATCCTCCTTGCAATGGCAATGAATTCATTTCTTTTTGTCAGCTGTGGTCACAGTAAAACGTGCACCCAATTGGCAGAACTGCAAGCTCTCTTGCTGAGGCTATCCTACCTGATTTGCAGTGTCTGGATTGGTCTTCTCACATCAGGGGGGCTGCACCTTGGATTCATGTAGATGTAGAGCTAAGTTGAACAAAGCCAGGCTTCCTGGGTTCAAGTTCCACCTCTACCTCATTGACCAACATTATTTGCATAAAAGGGATTATAATTGTATTTATATCATAAGGTCACTGGGAGGATTAAATGAATCCAAACTTGGCAAGAATTTAGAATAATGTAGGAATGAGGTGTGTGCTCAATAAATATTTGCAGTATCATATTCATTATTAATCTCTCAGAAGTCAACTTGATTAAAACTAAAGTCAGGGACATTATTGTCCACCTATCATAATTATGATTTTTTTAAAAAATAACCTTTCAAAGTTAAAAAAAAAAAAAAGCAAATCAGTTCGGGAAGCAGGCTGACTCACATTCCATTTACTTAGTCGTTAAATAAGCAAATTATTATCTCTGTGCCTCAGATTCCTTATCGGTAACAAGACTGTCAATAACACACCTTCTGAGGAATTGATCTTCTACAG